ACATATGACTGTCCAAAATCTGTTGCACTAACTTCCCTCCTCCTTTGCCAAAAATATCATATTTTACCACTGATTTCAAAAATACCGTTTTTATTTTGACATGTTATCCTATGGATATCATGCTAACTATGGAATAATATAGGAATATCCTATGGCTCTGAAAAAATATCACTTATATCCATGAGTGGATATTTATATCTTCGCGAGTGAGCGCAGCGAATGAGTGAAGATATTGATATCCATGAGTGGATATAAGTGATATTTTTGAAAAACCATAGGATTGTCCGTTTATCCCATTGGGAATTATTATCCAGCGAACATTGAATAGTCAGATAAATTGCAATGGAAATTCCATTTCGTCTGAGATTTTGATTGCGATAATTCAACGAACGTCATATACGTGACGTAACAGAGTGGTTTGTATTTAATGCGAACGCCGTAAAAACAAGATCCCAAAAAATATGAATATATAATAAATATATAAACAATCGTTTTGCTGAATGAATAAAAAAATTGAAAAAATCAAAACCATCGAATATCACTTTTGAAACCATCGAATATCACTTTTGAAACCATCGAATATCACCTTTCAAAAAGTGATATTCGATGGTTTCAAAAGTGATATTCGATGATTTGGGAATTGTTTGCTAAAATATGATATCTTCATCCACGTATCAATTATATCTTCACGTGATATTCGATCTATATCCTTGTAACCATGGGATAAATAAGGGTTATGTACTGGGAGGTTTTGGATATGGGGTTTTTCCAGAGTGAGATATGCATATCTACCTGAGGGACCGTAGGGACAGAAAGTAGATGTGCATATCTCACGAGGGATGAACCCAATATCAAAACCGACCGTACATAACTGCTTTATCCTATACCAAGTAGAGTTTTCGGTAGTACAAGGTGTAAAAAATAAACAAATCATTCATATGCAAAGTCATTTTATTGCATTTCCACTTTTTGGAAGCGGGAAGATACGCCCCGAAGCGGGAAGATATGCACCGAAGCGGGAGATATGACGGGAGATATGGAGGTTCTTGATATGGAAACCTCAAAATCAGGATACGGGATATATGTTACCAACTTATCTCCCTAAAACCCTACTTGGCATAGGATAAATCAAGATAATTTCTACTTGCATCTAGTCTATTCCACATGTTTGGGAAAAGTGTACAGGAAAATCTCCATGTTCAATTACTCAGATGCGAGTAGGTAGTTACCAGTTTCGCCACCAGGTGGCTGATTCGGGGGAAATAACATGGCAGGGTATTACAAAATTCCCTTAAACTTGAATGTGCATCAGTTTTATTGGTTCACTTTTGAAATTACCCTTATGTATGTGATAGTTATACAAATTAAAATATGTCCAGTAAAAGAAAATATTATCTGCCCAACACAAGAAACGATATTTCGCTTTTTGTAGTTTTACAACATGGGGTCTATGGGGAATCTCCCCGACCTAGAAATCACATTGTCAAAGAAAATTAAATTTTCAAAGTTGATAAACTATTTTCAAAACCACATTTTTAGATGAAATTTTATATGTAGATTCCAAATATGACACCAGTTTGACAGAATTGTGAATTTTTAATGACGTAAATCAAGATTATTTCTACTCGCATCTAGGATATTGATGTATGATCAATATATACGAATCGAATATCGTGTGCATTACAATATCCACATTGAAACATTTTTGGCCTGCAATGGGCGTATAATGAATTAGAATATGAGGCCGTGTTATCATTCTAATGTAAAGTCATTGTATTTACTGTGGTATTGGGTTCCAAGTTAATATCAGATTCAATGCAAATTAATCATCTAATATCAGATGCGCGATCAGTCCAATAATCTAATTTCAGGTCATCAGTTCGATATCTAGCACTTGTTCTAACGACACGGTATTACTAGGCTATCATATTATAAATACACACACATATAAAACAATCAAACTGGTACACGATATAAGCACGACTGCTCTTTCAATTGAGTATAAATGTTGATAAACTTACCCGGAAGCCAAGACATACACGTTTAGACGATGCTATTTTCAGTTCAGTGTAAGAGTAAATGCCCGGATATCGAGGCTTTTTCGTGTAAAGTTTTAACCAAGCATCTAAAATCGGGTTATATTGCGTGTAGAATTTATCGATATCAGGGCCGCTACATGCCAGTGACCTTAACGCGCAACGAAATGGACTATAACTGCCTAAAGGAAAAATACGACTTCTCATATAGATGTCACACGTTTATAACATCCAATAAAATATTAAAAGGTTAAATATTTATAGTATAAGTAGTATACGTTTTACCAGTACATTCACATTTACACAGTCTATATGAGTTTTACTAATAACTTATATGAGAATTGATTGTTGTATCAGGGACCGAAAGCCTTTTCTGGGTCACCACGAATGGCATGATTTCCTCGAGTCTCTTCAGTTTCAATGCAACCATACTATGACCGATTCGTGTCGTTCCACTAGACAATCAGATGATTGAGAAAGATTCCATGAATAAAATTATGTTTCTGACTCAAATAATGAAGCATAGCGAAACATTTGCGTTCGGTAACACCCCAGTCACATTTGTCACACGGCGGCCGCAAGTCGACCGCAGATCAATTAAATCGGTGAATTGCTGCGGCGAGCGTAGAAAAACTACGCTCGCCTTGCGGCCTCCGTACGGCGAATGCAGATTTTTACAGGCCGCAGGGAAGGCGTAGAAATTATGACTCGGAGTTATAATATTTGTTCATTTCTGAGGTCCCCGTAGAAATCAACTGGCTCAACAAGATTGAATCATTATCTGTCAATGTTTCACGATCACTTTTCATTTGATAGTACATCCTAGCACTATGAATAACATTTATAAATTGTCCCGATGTAAATAAAATGAAAAAAGTATTATTTATCAACAGAAATTTAAAATTCACCGCGGTGCGGCTGCCGTGGGAAATGTGACTGCAAAAGTATGAGAGCGCAGAAATTCTACGGCGAGCGTAGAAGAGCTACTGGCCGCAGAAATGATAGACCGCGCGGTGGCCGTGGGAAATGTGTTAGCGACACTTTTGGTAGTATACAGGTTTAACTGTACAACATCTTCGACTTCCAAGGTGTTGTAAAAGAGCAAGTGAAACCTTGTAAATCAAGATGCTACATACAATGTGTCCATAAAGTATTTTTATAATTTCAATACAAAGTCTATGTAAAGTGTATACACGAGTGGAGTCCTGTTAATGGAAACATGCTAGAAATGAAGCTTTTAAGCTAGAGGGTATTGCACTCTAAAATAACACCCTCATTTTCTCTACAGTACTTGATAGAATACAGTTCACCTCCCCAACATTCGACAATTAGATTACATTGCTTATCTAAGGAGACATTCATTGGTTCTTTGATGCCATCTTTCTCATCGACGAGCAGCTTCTTGAACTTTCCAGTCGAGCTGAGAAGATGAACTGTATTATTGGCGGAACTAGCTACAATAATGTTCCCAAACGGATCTTTGCATAACCCCCTTGGAGTAAGATTTTGCGCGTCATATTTGAAGAGTATGTCGCCTTTCTGGGTATAACCGACAACGATGCTATCTTTGTAGTAGGAAATGACAACTATCTTACTGGAAGTGATTGCCATCCAGGGCATTTTACCACCACTCCTTACATTACACGTGGCCTTTGTAGTATTTGTAGTGAGATCGATGAATAGTAACGTGTATGCTGGTTGACACCCCTGTAAGACTGCCAACTCTTGTGCTGGAGCTGCTGCTACACATTGTACTGGAGCCTCCACACAATCTACGGACCCAACTTTGATACCTTGATGGCTCATTGTGCTTATGGTGCCGAGTTTTCGATCCACTGCTAGGATTTCATTTCCAATGGATGTGAGCCGTACACATTCTATGTCAATGTGCTTTTTCACTGTGAGTGTGTCGGCGTCTACTATGTTAATACCTTTCTTACCATGCGCTGTGACTAGGTTTCTGTTTGCTAAGACAGTCATGGATTCTAAAGCAATGGAAGTGTTACCTTGCATCTGTATCTAGCCACGTTCCTTGACATCACTCGAGTGTTCTGTGACACCACGATGGCAGAGATCCTTCTCTGGTGCCTTATTCTGGTTCAAAGCTTCCAGTAAATTCATTATTTTAAAATTGGTCTTCAAATTTTGGGCTCCACCTCCAGGCATGTCGAATGGTGTTTTGCATTCTGGACATGGACACTGCACCTTTCCCCGGGTCTTCCCCCAATTATTCAGGCAGTCACAACAAATGGTGTGGCCACATCCAGGAATCAACTTAGGAAGGTTCAGTTGTTCAAGACAAATCGAGCATTCAAGGTGACCCCTTACGACATTTTCCACTCCATCATTTGCCATACTGCAACGCCTTGTCACCCTTGTGCATCAAGTTATCACAAACTGAAATCATAAATCATTTTTCATTGGTTCAACCCAAATATTATGTTTGATAAATTGTTATTTGAACAATTTCAGCCGTTTCACCCGGTCATATAACTCACCAAAACATATTTCACATGGAAATGACTTTATAATGACAGCACTATCGTTACTTGTATGAAAGTAAAACGAATTGCACACCTTGTTCACAGTAAACAAACTAAAGGATATAAATGATACGAATTCATACAATTTGGCATGTTATCTTGTGTGATCTGTAAATCTGGAGACGCTGTGAATTTTTGAAAGATGTTTAAAGGTTTTAACATGTTGGTTAGCATGTATTCAGATTCATTAAGGATATTCTCATTTGCTTAAGTTATCAATTCAGACCTGTGTGCAATAACAATATTTCATTCCATAACAAAGGTAATATTGACAATATTTTGCCACAGACTTTTGTTATTCCTTTTTCTCAGTAATGGCCCATTACGGAATGTAAATTATTATAACATTTGGTGATTATGGTCAATTTAAATTTCTTTTCATTTTCTGATTAAACTCAAACTATTTCGTATCATCATAAACATGCAGTGCTCCATAGCATACGGTTGTGCAATTCTTTGCCTCAGCTGTTTAATTGCAGTTGAATCTAAAAGGAAGAAGCCTAGTGGTGGCGGTGGCCAGGGTACTGGACAAGGAGTCACTCGAGCTGAATTTGGGGAGCTGAAAGAAGCAATACAACTCTTGATTGAAAGCAGCGATGCCTTGAAAACGGAACTGAAAGAAGATTCTGCAAGCATAAGAGATGAGGTGTCAAATCTGAGGGATGACGTGTCTAATCTAAGAGATGGTGAATCTGAAAATATTGCTAGTATCAGAGAAGAGTTGTCCGATGTCCGTGACAATCTTGTCGAACTGAAAGAATCGATGGCAGAAATGAAGAGCGAAATATCAAATGACAACACTGAGAAAGCTGATACTGAAACGAAGACTAATGTACCACTGTTTGACTCAGAAGGTGAGATGTTTACAATGTTTACCTTATAAATATATAATGCCCTGATCACATTTATTCTACGACAACCGTATGGCGGCCGTAGCTTCCCAAAATCGAGAGAAATATTCAGCATAAAATATAGAAATGAGCAGTACGATGTTTCAATATCGATTTGGTGAAGCTACGGCCGCCGTACGCCCACCGTAGAGCAAATGTGACCGAGGCTTAAGAAAGTAATTCATCTCCCAGACGTTTTGTTACAAGGTTCTCGTTTTATGCTTTTTCGTTATTCGACGCAGATTGTATGTTTGATTATTATGTATTTGCAGTTTGCAACAAGTCCTCCACAATGTTCCAAGAAATTAAAGATCAGCTGAAAGGTTGCCAAAAAGATGCGTTAACAACCGAAAGTCGTTTCAATGTTCCCGCCAGTTCTGAAGGTAAGAATATTTAGTGCAACATGCATCAATAGTTATTGTGAACAATAGTTATTGTTAACGTAAGTTTGTCACGGCGTTGCGGCCTTGGGGTCTAAATTGTCTCAGGCCAATAGGGACGCCGTAGCGTTCCCATGGTCACATACTGTTAACAGTATGTTACAGCTCGGTCAGATATGCTAGAATTGCCGCATGGTGTATTCTGAATTTGTTGAGACGGGAAACTTGCGGCGGCCGTATAGCCTTTGAAGTGATGAAACACGGTCGTCTTTGGGCGCCCCTGCACTTTGGAACGGCTCTACTGCATGGTCACGCCGTATCTAATTGCTACGACTAACATAAAATCATGAAAATATTTCTCGCTACTACGGCCTGAGATAAGCAGCGGATGACCCTGAGATCGCCCCAACTATCTCTTGATTTCGGGGAGAGAGGTCTAGGGCGTCGTAGCTTAGTCGTAGACTAAATGTGAATGAGATATAAATTAGGCCCATGGCATGGCTTTTTCTTTTCGATAATAAAAACAAAGTATAACAAATTCAAATGGCATAATTTCTTCATTGACACATTCCAAGCTCTAATTTGTTGTTATTTTATAGCATTCATGTATTTTCAGTTTGTAACAAATCATCAAGGATGTTTGAAGCCATTAAAGAACAACTAAATAACTTCCGATGCCCGGAAACCACGGAGAATAATGAAGCAAATGGTATTTTTCTTGAATTGTCTTCCTTAAATATGATATAATGTAAAACGCACGAATCTTGACTTTAAAATGATATAATTGTTATTTGATTAGTAGGTCGCAAATTAATTAATTAAAACACGTTCCAATAATTAATCAAGATGTGATGAATCATATCAAATTTGTGTATTTTATTAAATATTAAATGTAAGAAATGAATATAAAATTTGAACTGAGACGGAGTAAAAGTCGAGCAAACTTAACAGATCTGAAATGTCCATATTTTTAATGTTTTGTCATGTTGTAGGAAAATTCAACGAGTCCACATCGGGGACAGAATCGTTGAAGGAAGATCTTGAAATGATGATTCGGGAACAAATGAAGAAACTAGTAGAGACGTGCAGGATAGGATCAGATGATCAAACATATTCAGGTACATATGCACGTATTGGCGTAAACACCTTGAAAATTAGGTCTATACAGATAATTTAATATGATGGGAGCGAAATTTCAATTGAACATACTTGGAATGAAATAAAGTCAGAACTGTTGTATTGGGCTTTCTCAGAATATAGGAATGGCGAGAAATGTTGTTAGTCATTGAATTTGTTTTAATTGTGTCAACTTTGTTATCTATGTGCTTACGTGGCTTTAAATCTGCATTTTATTCTCAAATGGCTGGGTGGGTAAAAAATAAATTGGTTTTAATTAACCAATTAATACTTTCATATTACCAGAAAGGTCCTCGCCATTGTTCAAACCAATCAGCAGATGGGGTAACTTGGTGTAAATCTTCTCATCATTGACTTATTATGTCACAACCAAAAGTCAACTTTTTTGTGGACGGCGTCCAGCGGTTGGTGTTTGGCGGTCAGCGTCTGTAACAAACGGCATGTGATTTGCCAGTGTCGTGTCATCATTAACTTATATAAATTATCCACTTATACTAAATACTTTGTTATCCGTTTCCAGAATTGCCTAACAATGTCACATTTCCTGTCGGAGAAGATTGCAACGGGCATTCGGATGGAGTCCATGTAATAACCACCAGGACTGTTAAACGTTTTTTTTGCAAGATGTGAAGATGGTTGGCTCATACTTGCACACCGCTTCGATGGAAGTATCGAGTTCAACCTTGAATGGGCTTCATACAGACAGGGTTTCGGCAATATTTTAAGAGAACACTTTATAGGAATGGACAACATTGTAGCTGTGTTGCAACAGAAGAGGTACAAGGCAAGGTTTGACCTGACAACATGGGAGAATGAGACACGATACGCTGAATATAGAACATTTGACATTAATGATGAAAAGGACAAATACCGGTTGAATATTTATGGCTATAGTGGAACAGCAGGTGATTCAATGAAAGGTGCCAATCATGACCAATTCTCAACCAAGGATTCTGATAACGATGTTGACAATAGACATTGCGCTGTGGTTTATCAAGGGCCTTATTGGTATGGAAGTGGTTGTGGTGGTGCATTTGGATCTGTTTTTGGTAAATACATAAAAGGTTCCAAATGCACAGGTGCACATAGTTGTATAACTTGGTATTATTGGCCCGAGAAACTCCCTGGAGTTACTGCCAATCATTATTACTCTTTTAAAGAGGTAAAGCTCAAAATCCGACCAATTTAAATGACGTTTTCAGAAAAACAATTTGACATCGTCTAGTTTCAAATATTCATTTCAAATATTGCAAAACACAAGACTGAACTTTGTATAATTATACAACGTATTTACGTTGGTACACGTAATCCCCGAGTCACACCCAAGTAGCTCTCATTAAACGTCTTATCCCGTCCTAAAATTCATAAAATGATCTTAAAATAAGATCGGTTTGAAATGTCATAAAACAGTCTTCAATACACGACTAGTACTCGACTAAAAACGAGTAAATCTTAATTTTACCACGCATTTATTTTACCACGTTTTACCACGCATTTATTTTGTATTATCATATTATTTTGAACTTATTTCCACAGCACCATTTGCACAAAGCTTCGAAGCACCTTACCATCCGTGCACGCCGATGAAGTTCGTAAAAAGACTATAAAACGTTGTAATTGGTTCGTATAGTTTGTAGACAATACAGTTTAAGGCAACAAGTTTGGTGTGACCTCAACTTTATGCTAGTTAATAAACAGTTTTCGATGCATCCTAAAGTCTAGTTTTTTGTCTTTCATAAAAAATGATTTTTTCTGATACTATGCAGGGTTACAGACTTATATGTATGTATGTATTTATTTATTGAAGTGTCACGCCAATATATAAAATTACATATTATTAAAAACTACATAAAATCACTGGCCCTGCCGGTGTCGGTATATGAGACACTATGGTGTACAATAATCACTTTTAAGATATTATTATATATTACCGACAACAAAAAGGGCAGTTCCATATTCTTAAAGTATGTCAAGAAGAATCAATATTAGTTTGTGTTTTATACAGCTGCCATTTGTGCTATATAACAAAAACTAAAAATGATCCCAAATAGCTTAAAATGTTCTAAATGAATGGTGAGACAGTATAGACATAAATACGGAGAAACAAGATTTTTGTCCGGTACTAGCCACAAATCGACTACTGACTTTGTAGTCCACTCCATAAATCATTGGAACACTTGTATAGGTGCCCATATCGACCCCTTCCAACTTAGAGCCTGTCTCAATGGTACTTGTGCTAAGTTTGGTGACCATAGTTGACAATGTACAGTCCATTTCTGATTTTCAGTTGGGTCGTGCGTCAATATAAGGAAGGAATCAAAACACACACTTGCAATATCACATGAAAAAATACATTAAAAAAAAGTTTGTACATCTTGGATTGTTTGTGGTTTGGCTAATAAAATGTGTTTCCTCTTGTATTTTGATGCTTCTCTGACATGTATTAAAAAAATTAATATGGCTTAAACTCCTAAAATTACAAGAGGCCGCGAGTTTTTTAACATAAAACTAATTTAATCTAAAATAAATATTATCTTATATTTAAAGTCCCCGTGTAATGTTTGGAAATATGTTTTTATAATTCATTTCCTTTTTGTCATGACTTTAAAAGTTATTTTAGAGATTTTTTGAAAAAAAAGTTGTCAGCTTTTCATTTCTCAAATATTCAAATTTCCCGCCATTTTTCAAAAAAAAGTTGAAATTTTTTAATCATTAAATATTCCATCATACATTTCAAAAAAGATTATATTTTTAACACCTATGCAAAAGATACATGGAGCTGTATTTGACATTCAAAACCAGAATATAATGAATAATAGAAGGAATGATACGTTTCATTGGAGTTTACGCACGAATACATACAAGGGGCGTCATTAGAATATTTCAAATGCTGTATATATGGAAATGCTTGCCTAAAACTGCAAAATAACTATATGTGCGGAATATGACATATGTTTGTATCGTTTTTTATCTTGTAACAATTACCGCTGGCATTTTGAATGTTGACTAGACATAGTGCTGTACAATAAGTGTATTTGTAGGAAGTGGATTCATAATACTAAACTATGCTAAACCCATACTTTTAACTCTGAAAACTATTACCAGATCGATGTAGTCTTAAGTATATGGCATGTTGAATGTCAGATGTTTTTGGATGGGATCTGCTCCAGTGATTTTGCATTTAATCATGAAACGCTCATTATCAGACACCTCAAAACAAACATTATCCTCTTTGTGACAAGAGGAAAAATATGAACAATATGTTCTGCCTTACAGCAAAGTAAAGATACATTTCTGGGACGACTTTTTATTCATCTTAAGAATGATTTTGGAAAAACAATTAATTCACAAAAATACTAGAAAACGTATCTACATATAATACACAATGACACGCAGTTTAAATAACAGTTAACTGTTTTTTTTGTTACATATCAATGTCAAAATAAGTAACATTTTCGAAGTGGAACTTACACGCTCCCTGTGCGTTAATAGATTTACTTAAATATATCTTATTGCTTTCGAGTTTTGCTTCACTGCGCCCACGATTATCTATCTTTGCCTACATGGTTTTGTGCCAACTGCCAACAACATTCTATAAACTGCTTGATGAATCAATTATATGTCTGATAGAAAACTAGAAATAAATGTAAAATGTATTTTACGTTAAGAAATATGGAATTAAACCCACGTCCTCCATTTGAAACTTAACTGTACCCTGTTTCCCTTTTAAACGTGGTCACGTGGTAGGGTAGTGTGTATAAGGCATGCATAAATCTTGATATTGTTAGAATATTGAATGTGAATATATTCTTAAACCTCAGAAAAGGGATAATTCAAAGAAAAGTACACAATTTTGGCAAAGAAATGGTACACTTTTGAAATTGCCTGAAAACATATTCTTTGATTGATTTAATTTCAAAATAAATATGGAATCGGTGAGTTAACACTATTACCTCAATAATTTCATAAGAATTTAACACATGTTCATATATTGGATTTATACCTTATTTATAGTGACACTTATAGGGACAGATTCTTTATGTTTAGAATTTTTTTTCATGGTATGACATCAAATTGTTAGCATACATGCGATGTAGCAAAAGAAAGCAGGTTAACATTGTCAGAAATGCCTATTCATCATCCTGTTTGGGTGAATTATACTTACTGTTTTTCAAATTCAGTTTGAAATTCTTGAAAGAGTTAAAATTGAATGCTAGTAGTATAATACCAGGGATATTATGTCCCAGGCCACGCTCTTGACTTGCACTTAGCCCTTGCACTGATTTTTGCAATATCTAAAACTTGGCCAAGAGCCGATTTTGACCCACTGTGTAAACGGAAGGATTTCTCATCCAACCATTATCACATGTGAATGATAGACATATCATCGGAAAGAGGAGAGATATGGCTTTATGATACATTAAATGAAATTGATGTAGGCATCACTAGTTTTGTGATTTTACAAGATAACTACTTGTTGCGTTTTTTATACGCCCTGTATTACAGTATAATTATCATGATTGATACATGATTGAGGCATTATGAATGATAAACAATGGATATATGAATGAGGATTTCTCTGGACTAAAAAATAGTCCCAGCAAACAAAATGGTGGACATGAAATATTTAGAATTCACAATAGTTTCAGCTTTATTATACTCTAACAATGCAAGAAGTTCACATTTCCATGCTCCTTTGATGCTCCTTGGTAAGGTAAGATAATTTGTGGAAATTTTAGAGTCTTACAAATGTGACATCGAAGCACCCCTGCTCCTTGAAGTTTTCACAAATTAACCTCACTTCACAGTTTTCATGTTAGCTTTAGGGACCCATACACCTACAATTCATAGTTATGAAAAATACGTTTATGTGTGATGTCACTTTGACACGTCTCTTTAGTCAAGAAATGCATTCACATATAAGGAAAGCAAATTTTAAAACCATGTGTCTTTATCAAAAAAAAATGGCTGCCACAGTCAGTACTCTTGATTTAACGCGCAACGAAATGGACTATAACTGCCTAAAGGAAATACGACTTCTCATATAGATGTCACACGTTTATAATATCCAATAAGATATCAAAAGGTTAAATATTTATAGTATAAGAAGTATAACAGTTTTACCAGTACATTCACATTTACACAGCCTATATGAGTTTTACTAATAACTTATATGATAATTGATTGTTGTATTGTTGCATAGCGAAACATCGGCATATAAAGGGTGATTTATATGTTTTTTGCGTTCGGTTAGCGACACTTTTGGTCGAATATACAGGTTTAACTGTACAACATCTTCGACTTCCAAGTTGTTGTAAAGGAGCAAGTGAAACCTTGTGAATCAAGATGTTACATGCAATGTGTCCATAAAGCATCTTTATAATTTCAATACAAAGTATATGTAAAGCGTATATACGAATCCTGTTCATGGAAACATGTTATAATGAAGCTTTTAAGCTAGAGGGTATTACACTCTAAGATTGAACCCTCATTTTCTCTACAGTACTTGATATAATACAGTTCACCTCCCCAACATCCGACAATTAGATTACATTGCTTGTCTAAGGAGACATTCATTGGTTCTTTGATGCCATCTTCCTCATTGACGAGCAGCTTCTTGAACTTTCCAGTCGAGCTGAGAAGATGAACAGTATTATTGGTGGAACTAGCTACAATAATGTTCCCAAGCAGATCTATGCATAACCCCCTTGGAGTAAGATTTTGCGCGTCATATTTGAAGAGTATGTCGCCTTTCTGGGTATAACCGACAACGATGCTATCTTTGTAGTAGGAAATGACAACTATCTTACTGGACGTGATTGCCATCCAGGGCATTTTACCATCACTCCTCACATTACACATGGAGTTCGTAGTGTTGGTAGTGAGATCGATGAATAGTAACTTGTACGCTGGTTGACATCCCTGTAAGACTGCCAACTCATGTGCTGGAGCAGCTGCTACACATTGCACTGGGGAATCCAAACAATCTACAGACCCTACTTTGTCACCTTTGTGGCTCAGTATGCTAATGGTGCCAGGTTTTCGATCTACTGCTATGATTTCATTTCCAATGGATGTGAGCCGTACACATTCTATATCAATGTGCTTGTTCACGTTGAGTGTGTCGGCGTCTACTATATTAATACCGTCCTTACCATGCGCTGTGACTAGATTTCCGTTTGCTAAGACAGTCATGGATTCTAAAGCAGGGGAAGTTTTACCTTGCATCTGTATCTTGCCACGCTCCTTGACATCACTCGAGTGTTCTTTGACACCACGATGGCAGAGATCCTTCTCTGGTGCCTTATTCTGGTTCAAATCTTCCAGTAAATTCATTATTTTGAAATTGGTAATCAAATTTTGGGCTCCACCTTCAGGCATGTCGAATGGTGTTTTGCATTCTGGACATAGACATTGCACCTTTCCCCGAGTCTTCGCCCAAGTATTCAAGCAGTCACAACACATGGTGTGGCCACATCCGGGAATCAACTTAGGAAGGTTTAGTTGTTCAAGACAAATGGAGCATTCAAGGTGATCCCTCACGGCATTTTCCACGCCATCATTTGCCATACTGCAAAGCCTTGTCACCCTTGTGCATCAAGTTATCACAAACTGAAATCATAAATCATTTTTCATTGGTGCAACCCAAATATTATGTTATATCAAATTGTTATATGAACAGTTTCAGGCGTTTTTAAACTAAAACTGTGTAAGTGAAGTCCAAACGTGGCAATATACCTCTTTTAGTAGGAAGAAAAACCGGTCATATGACCCACCAAAACATATTTTGCATGGAAATGACTTTATACAGAAAGCATCATCGTCACTTGTGCAGAAGTAAGGAATTGTACACCTTGTGCACAGTGTACAAACTGAAGGATATATGATTCCGATTCATGCAATTTGGCATATGTAATTTTGTGTGATCTGTAAATCTGGAGACGCCGTGATCTTTTGAAAGATGGTTAGAGGTTTTAACATGTTGTGTAGCATGTAGTTAGATTCATTAAGCTTTCTCATTTGCTTTAAGTTATCAATTCAATGTGTGCAATAACAATATTTCATTCCATTAACAAAGGTAACACTGACAATATTTTGCCACAGACTTTTGTTATTCCTTTTTCTCAGTAATGGCCCATTACGGAATGTAAATTATTATAACATTTGGTGATAATGGTCAATTTAAATTTCTTTTCATTAAACTCAAACTATTTCGTATCATCATAAACATGCAGTGCTCCATAGCATACGGTTGGGCAATTCTTTACCTCGGCTGTTTAATTGCAGTTGAATCTAAAGGGAAGAAACCCAGTGGTGGAGGTGGCCAGGGTACTGGACAAGTCATTAAAGATGAATTTGGGAACCTTGAAGAAGCAATGCAACTCCTGATCGAAAAACTGAAAACAGATCTGAAAGAAGATTCTGCAAGTATAAGAGATGAGGTCTCAAATCTGAGGGATGACGTGTCCAATCTAAGAGATGGTGTGTCCACTCTGCAAGATGATTTATCCACTTTACGAGATGGCGAATCTGGTAATATTGCTAGTATAAGAGAAGAGTTGTTAAATCTAAGAATGGGGGAATCTGATGTTCGTGATAATCTGGTGGAATTGAAAGAATCGATGGTAGAAATAAAGAAACAGTTGAGCGAATTGTCAAATGACAACACCGAGAAAGATGACACTGGCGACATTAAGACAAATGTACCACTGCTTGACTCAGAAGGTGAGAAATGTACAATATTTATAAATATCTAATGCCTCAGTCACATTTGATCTATGGCAACCGTATGGAGGCTGTAGCTTCCCAAAATTTAGATACATATGCAGCATAAGAAGGATAAGCAGTATGATGTAGATTTTCTATATTGATTTTGTGGTGAAGCTACGGCTGCCGTACGCCCGCCGTAGAGCAAATGTGACAGAGGCTTAAGAAAGTAATTCATCTCCCAGACGTTTTGTTACAAGGTTCTCGTTTCATGCTTTTTCGTTATTCGACGCAGATTGTATGTTTGATCATTATGTATTTGCAGTTTGCAACAAGTCCTCCACAATGTTTCAAGAAATTAAAGATCAGTTGAAAGGCTGCCAAAAAAATGAGTTAACAACCGAAAGTCGTTTTAATGTTCCCGCCAGTTCTGAAGGTAAGAATATTTAGTGCAACATGCAACAATAGTTTGGTCACGGCGTGGTGGCCTTGGGGTCTAAAATATCTAAGGCCAATAGGGACGCCGTAGCGTTCCCATGGTCACACACTGTAGCGGTTAGATGTGCTAGAATTGCCGCATGGCGTATTCTGAATTTGTTGAGACGGGAAACTTGCGGCGGCCGTATAGCCTTTGAAGTGATGAAACACGGTCGTCTTTGGGCGCCCTTGCACTTTGGAACGGCTCTTCTGCATGGTCACGCCGTATCTAATTGCTACGACTAACATAACTAACATCATGAAAATATTTCTCGCAACTACGGCCTGAGATACGCCGCGGATGACCCTGAGTATATCAAAGATAACCTGCGGCCGCCCCAAGTATCTCTTGATTTCGGGGAGAGAGGGCTACGGGCGTCGTAGCCTAGTCATAGACTAAATGTGAATGAGATATAAATTAGGCCCATGGCTTTTTCTTTTATAGCATTTATAGCATTTATGTATTTTCAGTTTGTAACAAATCATCAAGGATGTTTGAAGCCATTCAAGAACAACTAAAGAACTTTCGACGCCCGGAAACCACGGAGAATAATAAAGCAAATGGTATATTTCTTAAATTGTCTTAAATATGATATAATGTAAAACGCGTGAAACTTGACTTTAAAATGATATAATTGTGATTTGATTAGTAGGTCGAAAATTAATTTTGAAAAACACGTTCCAACAATTAATCAAGATGTGATGAATCATGTCAATTTTGTGTATTTTATAAAATATTAAATGAAAGAAATGAATATAAAATTTGAACTGAGACAGGGTTAAAGTCGAGCAAACTTAACAGATCTGAAATGTTCATATTTTTAATGTTTTGTCATGTTGTAGGAAAATTCAACGAGTCCACATCGGGGACAGAATCGTTGAAGGAAGATCTTGAAATGATGATTCGGGAACAAATGAAGAAACTAGTAGAGACGTGCAAGACAGGATCAGATGATCAAACATATTCAGGTACACGTATTGGCGTAAACACCTTGAAAATTAGGTCTATTCAGATAATTTAATATGATGGGAGCGAAATTTCAATTGAACATACTTGGAATGAAATAAAGTCAGAGCTGTTGTATTGGGCTTTCTCAGAATATAAGAATGGCGAGAAATATTGTTAGTCATTGAATTTGTTTTAATTGTGTCAACTTTGTTATCTATGTGCTTATGTGGCTTTAAATCTGCATTATATTCTCAAATGGCTGGGTGGGTAAAAAAGAAATTGGTTTTAATTAACCAATCAATACTTTCATATTACCAGAAAGGTCCTCGCCATTGTTCAAACCAATCAGCAGATGGGGTAACTTGGTGTAAATCTTCTCATCATTGAATTATTATGTCACCACCAAAAGTCTCCAACGTTTTACGGTCAAGTCAAGTAACTTTGCTGGTATGGCTTTAAACTTCCAATATATTCTCAAATGGCTGGTTGGGTAAAAATGAAATTGGTTTTAATTAACCAATCAATACTTTCATATTACCATAAAGGTCCTCGCCGTTGTTCAAACCAATCATCAGATTGGGTAACCTGGTTTAAATCTTCTCGTCATTGACTTATTATGTCACCACCAAAAGTCAACTTTTTTGTGGACGGCGTTCAGCGGTTGGGGTTTGGCGGTCGGCGTCTGTGACAAACGGCATGTGATCTGCCAGTATCGTGTCATCATTAACTTATATAAATTATCCACTTATACTAAATGCTTTGTTATTTGCTTTCCAGAACTGCCTAACAATGTCACATTTCCTGTCGGAGAAGATTGCAACGGGCATTCGGATGGAGTCCATGTAATAACCACCAGGAGTGGTAAACGGTTTCTTGCAAGATGTGAAAGTGGTTGGCTCATACTTGCACATCGTTACGATGGGAGTGTAGACTTCAACCTTGGGTGGGCAGCTTACAAACTGGGATTTGGTGATATCATGAAAGAACACTTCATAGGAATGGACAACATTGTGGCTGTGTTACAACAGAAGAGATACAAGGCAAAGTTTGACCTGACAACATGGGAGAATGAGACACGATACGCTGAATATAGAACATTTGACATTAATGATGAAAAGGACAAATACCGGTTGAATATTGATGGTTACAGTGGTACAGCAGGTGATCCAATGTTACATGCAAATCATGACCAATTCTCAACCAAGGATTCTGATAACGATGTTGACAGTAGACATTGCGCTGTGGTTTTTCAAGGGCCTTATTGGTATGGAAGTGGTTGTGATGGTGCACTTGGATCTGTTTTTGGTAAATACATTAAAGGTTCCAAATGCACAGGTGCATCATATGGGGGTGCATATGGTTGTATAACTTGGCATTATTGGCCCGAGAAACTTCCTGGAGTAACTGGCAATCAGTATTACTCTTTTCAAGAGATAAAGCTCAAAATCCGACCAATTTAAATGAAGTTTCAGAAAGACAATTTGACATTGTCCAGTTTCAAATTGCAAAACACTTTTGGGTAATACGTTGGTACACACAATCCCCCGACACACCCCAACTAGTTCTCAAAACGTTCCTTTCCCCTCCCTGTCCCTAAAAAACAATGAGCTTAGAATTAGATCGATTTGTAATGTCATAAAACAGGATGCTAGTTCTTTCATAAACAGTCTTCAATATACGACTCAACTAAAAAACTAGTAAATTTCAGTGGGAACCTACTGTAAAAGGTTGTAATTAGATCATACACAATACAGTTAAAATTTTCAAGAACGTAGTGACAATAAGTTTGGTGTAACCTCAACTTTATGATAGTTAATAAATAGTTTTCGATACATCCTTCTAGTTTTTTGTCTTTCATAAAAATGGATTTTTTCTGATACTATGCAGGGCTACGGAATAACTTTTCTCGATAACAAAGAGGGCAATTCCATATAATCAAGGTTATAATAATTAATATTAGTTTGTGTTTTATACAGTTGCCATTGTGCTATATAACCGGAGCTAGAAATCGATCCCAAATGTTATAAATAAATGATGACTACAGTATAGAGACATAGAGATACACGGAGATACAAGACTTTTGACAGCACTGGTCACGAATCGACGACTAACTTTTTAGTTCACTAAAAAATCACTAGCTAATAAATCATTAGAGCACGTTTCGGTGCACACCCCCCCCCCTTTCAACTTACAACCTGTCCGAGGGTCCTTGTGCGAAGTTTGGTGACCGTATGATTGTTAACAGCATAGGCCAAGGTGAAGTACTATTGAGCTAGCTGATGGTTTATAAAACTAGGAGTAAAAAGCACACTTGTCGACGGGAATAAATTTTCACGATTTTAACAATCGACGATTCGATTATTATTATTGGAGTTTGGTACATATACACGTTCTCCTTTTGAAGTATGACTTTTAAAATTCTTTTCATTCCCGAAAGCCTCAGTCACATTTTCTCAACGGCCGTCACAAAATCGATACAGAAAATCTACATCGGAGTGCTATGTTTTATTTCTCTCGATTTTGGGAAGCTACGGCCGCCATAAGGTTGCAGTAGTTCTGGGGGGTCATTCATCAAGCTTTCGCAAGCACGTCGCATGCTTGCGATGTCGCAACGGCCCTTTTTAGCGATTACGTCCTATTCATCAATCTCGTGCGACTGTCGGATCGGTAGAATTTCCTTCGACGTCGCAGTGAAATACCCCTTAAATGCCCCAAAATTAAGCGACCGGTAGTACCCAGTCGCAGTGATTTAAGTTCAAGAAAAATGTCTTGAATTAATTTTTTTACGAGGCATTAGTTTACCAACGTGGACACTGGATTTTCAGACAGGGTGGGTACTTAAATTGCAATCCGAGTGGATTTCACTTCGATAAACGATACAATTGATTAAAAAATTGCATACTTTATTTAACTTTTTGAAGTGTTGCCCTCACTACATCTGTTTAAAATTGATATCATGCAAATACACTTACACAATCTATTTCTTCGAATAACGTTGCCCCTTTGAAATATTAAAGAGGGTTAAGTTGACACTATTTCAAAAACGCCAATGGGAACGTGTAAACGTACACGTTTAGTCTTCTAAGTTTCACATTCTGGCAGAACTCCCCCCCCCCATAGTTGTAATACTGAAAGGTTGTTCAAATTCTACCAAATATGTGTAAGTTAACTTCTCTATTAAGTAATACCAAAGACGAACATACCGCTCTAAGATCCCTTTCCCAAGCGTACGTATAGTTTTAGCGTATCCTGTATCCTTAAACCAACCTCTACGTTGTCAGTCCGTGAAATTCTGGTGAGACTCGCTGTGCGTGGTCGTAGCCTATGAATCGCACAAACCTATTAGAAAACTATTAAATATAGTTGTTATAATTTTAATGATAAAATAGATAAGCTATGGTCTTGATTTTACATAAGACTCTTCAACTATAAATGGTTACAACAAGTGTATTACGTCATTTTTTATACTCTTACGATTTGTTTATTGAATACTCAGATAAGGCAAGAGAGCCTTACCATTCTTGGTATGTTCTTTTGTTCAGTTTGAACAAATTACAGTAGTTGAACACTGCATTGTTTATAAAAACACAAGTTTTAAAGACACAGAGTCGAGTTATCAGACGAAGTTCTCCTTTAAGAAGCGAAGCCGAACGAATGCAAGGGGTAGACACCGTGCAAATTTTAAGAAAATTGTTTAATCATGAAAATTGAGACATTTTCTAAAAGTTTAGATTAGAAAAAATTGTCAGTCTCAATTTTCAAATGCTTAAATTTTCCGCCATTTTTGCAACACAAGAAACATTACACAGATTAATTCCCATACACCATATTTCATTTTGATGCAAACATTTTCTTTCGAAATCATTTTAAAAATGTGATCATCAGGTTACAACGTGATGTCATTAAGTGAAGTTTATCAATTCTTATTGATAAACTATTATCTATTTCTGATGCCGAACATCAATTAAGAAAAACAGATTAGATAAAAAATAAAATCGATCGTATTCTTATCTCTAGTGTTAACTAAATATACGACCTAAAGGATTTGAAATTTAACAATTATCCCCGGGATTTTTTTAAATTTCATATTTGGGCGGTTGAGTTTGAGTTGGACAAAATATTTTGACCATAATAATAACATTGTAAAGTTGAGTTGTGTATCATTATTAATTAATCATAATTTATATAAACTGTAAAATTATGAAGCATATAGAAACTGGTTAGTTATTATAGTGAGTACTAAGTACTAGTGTACCTTCGTAAACTCTGAACAAAAAGAAACTAAAGTTGACACTGCAAATTAATGTGTTAATAAAAATGATTAGGCTTTGTTTTGGATGTGATCCAATATGTTTACAATCTCCTTTTGGATCACACTTTACTTCTCTTAATTCAGTTAGAATAGGTGTGCTTGGAATATGTGTTCTTGAAATAGGTGTGCTTGGAATATGTGTGCTTGAAATAGGTGTGCTTGGAATATGTGTGCTTGAAATAGGTGTGCTTGGAATATGTGTGCTTGAAATAGGCGTGCTTGGAATATGTGTGCTTGAAATAGGTGTGCTTGGAATGTGTTCTTGAAATAGGTATACTTGGAATATGTGTTCTTGAAATAGGTGTGCTTGGAATATGTGTTCTTGAAATAGGTGTGCTTTGAATATGTGTTCTTGAAATAGGTGTGCTTGGAATATGTGTTCTTGAAATAGGTGTGCTTGGAATATGTGTTCTTGAAATAGGTGTGCTTGGAATGTGTTCTTGAAATAGGTGTGCTTGGAATATGTGTCCTTAAAATAGGTGTGCTTGGAATATGTGTTCTTGAAATAGGTGTGCTTGGAATATGTGTTCTTGAAATAGGTGTGCTTGGAATATGTGTTCTTGAAATAGGTGTGCTTGGAATGTGTTCTTGAAATAGGTGTGCTTGGAATATGTGTCCTTAAAATAGGTGTGCTTGGAATATGTGTTCTTGAAATAGGTTTGTCTGATTGGATCATTTGTGTGTTCCAGTTCTGAAGTAACTCTCTCTGGTTTCAGGTTTAGGTGCTTAGGTCTCTTAGCACGTCTCTGCTCCAGTCTCTGCTCTAAGAGGTCAGATGTTTTGGGTCGTAGAATAACTATGCCTTTAGAACTGATAAAAATAAGTTAATGCCAGAAAACATTGCCACTACCTTTTAGAGATAATCAAGTTTTGAAAACCGAACGAAATCTCCTGTTAAAGAACCCACATTCTAACCAAATGGGATTGATTTAGGATATGATCAGTAACATATTTTACTGGTTGTTCAAGCAGAACCAGTGTTCTGAGAAATTCAGCAAGTTCAGCATGTATTGACTTAACATAGGGATATGCATATCCCCATGTTATCATCATGGGTATATCATGAAATTCTCACGATCTCAGAACATTGGTCGACTGAGTCATACCAGTGAAATTATGTTACTGAGCATATGCAGTATCGATTCTAATTGGATAGAAAAGGTGTTCTTTAAAACAGGAAATTTTAGCCTAACCAAGGCCTTTCTGAAACTTTTGGTTGACTTTATTTGATGTCCATATTATTTCAAGTAACATACAAGGCATTAACATGCAAAATGTCACCACCTGCATTTGCTACAGACCCCGCCTGCCGTACACCACATACAAAAAAAGTAGGTGACAATAACAATATGTCACCACTTGTGGGGGTGACATAAAAACCAAGTGTATTTTAATGACCACCTCATTAAATTATGAGACCTTGAAATACAAAACATCATTTTTATTTACATTCATCATTTATTTCATAACTGAACACCAATTCCAATTTTTGTTCAAATTATTCTTGAAGTTGTTACTTACATCATTATCATTATCCAAATGATTTTAATTGTTAAAGGCCCCATGTAAAATTTGAAAATAAGCCAATGTGGTTTTAACTTTATACAGGGCCTTTATTACAGTAATGATTTACAGTAAATTTCTACTGGCCAATCTTCATCATGATTAAGCGGTTGGTTTATCTCTGCAACCTAAGCTGTACATGTCATGAATTTTTAGTAAACTATTTTCTCGATAGAGTTAAGATTTTTTTTATTTCATTTTATTTTATTTTTATTAATTTGCACTAAGTAATACAAGACCATTGCTTTATCGAATGTTTGAGGTGATTGGCTGATTGTACTAAGCTAGCATTCAACTGTCGACTGATTGGTATTTTGTGTCCAACTCATTTAAATATGAATTCTCAAAGGAGCTGGTATTATTCAACGAGTTGGCCATAAATTATCAATAAAATTGTCAGGGTCAGTCAAAAGTTGAATTCATGAATGCTAGCAAAGAATGACAGCTAATGATTACCCTGCGTGCAGAGTCTAGTTAAACTACAGAAGACGAAGCTCTCTTTTAAGAAGTGAAGTCAAACGAATGCAAAGGGAAGCTAATGATGATCAGTTGATCCGTAAAGTTGAGATGACGTTGTTATTTGAGTCTTGGATTTTTTGTGAAAATGTCCAAATATTTGTGTGTTTTATATATGCTGATCTGATGATAGTCAAGCATGAAACACACAATTAATGTGACATATAGACAGCTTACTATTTTAAAATACTTTGTACACTATCAGGAAACTAACTGAATTCTCCCCAGTTTATCAATTTATGTGTCCAGGGAACACTCTATACAAGACGAAAGTGTTCCTTACACACGGGTGTTTTTTTCCAGAGAGGTATTCTCTATTTTACAAATATAGATATTTATCCTGTTGAACTACTGTCAGTATTTCATAAGAAAAAAACGTGTTTAGGGAACAATTTCTATATTGATAATAATGTTCCTAATATACAGTTTCTTCTTACAAAGATGTGTTCCCTAGAACAGGCTTTGAATGCTCTCTTAAAAATTAAGATATTCATCCTGGTGAACCACTGTTCGTTTATTTCATACAGTAAAACCAATCTACAGAAAACACTCCATACTTGATGAAAGTGTTCTTTACAGACAAGTGTTCCTTACAGAGAGGTGTTCCTTACAGAGAGGTGTTCCTTACAGAGAGGTGTTCCTTACAGACAAGTGTTCTCCAGAACATCTTCTGTAGTATAGGTCTATGAGATTATTCACTGTCTGAATCACTTCCAGCCTCAGATTCTGATTCCTTGGCATCTTTCTCAGAGTGAGCAGGGCTACTCAAGATCTCCTCCTCTGAGGGCAGCTGAAACACATGAGTATTATGGGATATATAACAATACACATGAGAATTATTGGATATATTACAATACGCATTAGAATTATGGGATATATTACAATACACATGAGAATTATGGGATATATTACAATACACATGAGTATTATGGGATGTATTACAATACACATGAGAATTATGGGATGTATTACAATACACATGAGAATTATGGGATGTATTACAATACACATGAGAATTATGGGATATATTACAATACACATGAGTATTATGGGATATATTACAATACACATGAGAATTATGGGATATATTACAGTACACATGAGTATTATGGGATGTATTACAATACACATGAGAATTATGGGATATATTACAATACACATGAGTATTATGGGATATATTACAATACACATGAGAATTATGGGATATATTACAATACACATGAGTATTATGGGATGTATTACAATACACATGAGAATTATGGGATGTATTACAATACACATGAGAATTATGGGATGTATTACAATACACATGAGAATTATGGGATATATTACAATACGCATGAGTATTATGGGATATATTACAATACACATGAGTATTATGGGATATATTATGTATTGTACTGTAGTTCTGACTAATGTTATCATGTAATGATACTACATGTCAATAAAAGTTATATAATTACAATACACATTAATAGTATTATGGACAAATAGTTGAACCAAGGCATAGATCACACCACAAATTAGGCACTCGTTATTATTCAATGTTAAAAATCCAAGATAGAAAATTAAAAGTCTAGAAAGTCTAGAACTTGATACTGGAATTGCAATGAGAAAAAAAGATAGAAATGATCCAAAATCCATCCAATAAAAACAAGTAAATCAGACGAGTAATTTATTTTTCCTAGAATGATGACAACAGTACATGATGTCAACAACATTCAAACATTGACATGAAAAAAAATGAACCAAAAAATGGAGCTAACAAAATAAACGCTAACATGTAAATAAAATATAAACATAAATATGTCAATTTCGGAAAAATGGTCGATTGACAATTATTGTGCTTTCTGCATGTTCTATGTTACCATATGCGAGATTGACTATAAGACTAATAATTCCCAAGACAGTGGCTAGTTTAATACTATGATACGTAATTCCATCCAACTAAAAATACAAAAATTCAATCTAATTTTCTAGTTTTTTTGCTGATATGCCAATATTTCCTAGTGATGTTAATGTTTTTGACATATTTTATTCATACTGATCACATTTAATGTTGATGCCAATATTTTAAACTGATGCCAATATTTGAAATTGATGCCAATATTTAAATTTGATGCCAATATTTCAAACTGATGCCAATATTTTAAACTGATGCCAATATTTGAAAATGATGCCAATATTTAAATTTGATGCCAATATTTCAAACTGATGCCAATATTTAAAACTGACCTCTCCTGCAGGTGAATCATCACCTGAGCCGTCTTCTTTATGCTTTGAACGTGTCTTCTTAGGTTTGAGGGGTTTATCATCAGAGTCAGTGCTGCTGCTACTGCTATCATCATCCAGGAACTCCTTTGATTTATAATTTGCCCCAGAGCCTCCTTTTGATTCCTCATTCTTTTTCGGACTCTTCGTCTTTGTCTTCTTCTTTTTCTTTGGACTGGAATTGACAAAATATTGAGTTAATGTGACTCTGAATACTACCTTATATGAGCAAATTAAAGACTTTCCTGGGAATTTTTATGTAATCTACGAAATTTGTAATTATCTAATTCTAAAATGACTGGAATAAATTGAAACAAGGCATAAACTTGCAAAATGTCACCACCTCCCATTTGTTACAGATGCTGAACATCAACCACCAAACAATAACCGCCAAACACAAACCACAGAACACCTATCCACAAAAAGTTGGAGACTATAACAATACGTCTCCAATTCTGGTGGCGACACAAAAGCTGAATGTGGATTAAATTCTTACGTATTTTCAGTATTATCATCAGAGTCAGAATCTGGTTTATTGGCCAAGTACTCTTCCATCTGTTGTTTATAGACCTCCTTGGCTTGCTTGGCTTTTTCATCCCATTCCTATTTAAATAAATTAGAAGACACACATTAGAATGGTATAACTCAAGTATATGACGGCTTCTTAGGAATACATTGGGTTCATTTCATCGACTCGATTACAAACGAAAATAAATACAATAAATACAAATATTTGAAGCAAACTAGATGAATTACTCTTTTAAAAATATGCCTGGGCTTTCAATAGCAGGGGGTGAGGGCCCAAAATCACCGTTTGTTTTCGATAATTCGCCATTTGTCAGAAGCCAAATATTGTCTAAGTTTGGGGGGAAATCAAAAGTCTTCTTTAGATTATCCTTTATTTTATTAAGCGGTCTTATTTTGCACTTCCTTGTTTTTCGGATTTGTACCTTATTTTCCATGGGACATGCAGATAAATGTATGATTGATACAACTGTTCAACCAGTCACAGTACATCTTTCAAATTGTATTAATCAGTTAAAGGTCCAATATGAACGTTGGCTTATTTTTTTGAAGGACCTTTTGTTCAAAATATCGTGAATTTATTAAAAACTAACTTTGAGAGGTTACACTAACACATAATTCACATCAATGCATAGCATTCATCCTCACTTGTTTTTTTGCCGACAAAATTAAGAAAATTGGTTGATAAATAAGCCAGCAATAATCTCATTCATGGATGAAAGTGGTTCAGGGCAAATGCATTTCGAAATTTTAGTTCTCACAGAAACCAATGGTAATTATATTAATAATAATAAAAACCAGAACAATGGCAACGCCAAAGCGTAGCAAATCCCATCGAACAGAAACGGCTGGCATTTTTACATACGAAATATATGGCAAATATCACAAAATAACACCCATGAGAAAGGCCACCATTTTCAAAATGGTTGATCACTAGCCAAGTTGTCATCAGAAGTAATATGCTTTTAAGTAGCCACATATAAAATTCTTAAAAGATTGCCAATGGTGGCCATTTTTTAAAATGGCCGCTTACTACTCAAAATGTCATAAGACAGTATGCAATCCTTACGAGTATTCGCATATCAAATATGAACAAAATCGCTCTATTACTTTATGAGTTATAATAAAAAAGTAAAATAACACATATAAAAGTGGTGGCCATTTTTCAAAATGGCCAACTACTCCCCAAAGTTTAATTAGACAATGTGCCATGCTTAAAGTATTCACATATCAAATATGAGCAAAATCGCTCCAATTTTGAGTTATAGTAAAATGTAAAAATGACAGCCATTTTTAAAATGGCCGCCTACTACGTGAAGTGTCATGAGACAGTGTGCTAGGCTCATGAGTATTCACATATCAAATATGAACAAAATCGCTCCATTACTTTTCAAGTTATAGTAAAAAACATAAAAATGGTGGCCATTTTTCAAAATGGCTGCCTACTACCCAAAGTGTCATTAGACAGTGTGCCATGCTTATAGTATTCACATATAAAATATGAACAAAATCGCTCTACTACTTTTTGAGTTATAGTAAAAATTGTAAAATAACACACGTAAAAATGGTGGCCATTTTTCAAAATGGCTGCCTACTACCCAAAATGTCATTAGACATTGCCCCATGCTTAAAGCATTGACATACCAAATATGAACAAAATCGCTAAACTACTTTTTGACTTACAGTAAAAAATGTTAAATATTACACACTTAAAAATGGCGGCCATTTTTCAAAATGGCCGCCTACTACCAAAAATATCATTAGACATTGTGCCATGCTTAAAGTATTCACATACCAAATATGAACAAAATCGCTCCACTACTTTTCAAGTTACAGCAAAAATCGAAAAATGACGCAAATGCAGCCATTTTTCAAGATGGCTGCCATGTATTTTTTCTATATTTACATTTCTAGCTTAATCAATGTCCTATATAACTTTTTACATTTAAAACATATTGCTATTGTAGTTTGATATGCAGTACCTATATTACTGTAAAATCGGCACTAAAATGGCCACCATTTTTAAATGAGCAGCCATTTTGAAAATCGGTTTTCGAGCAGAACTTCTACCCCCATTGGGTATATGTGTACAAAATATGAACAAAATCGGGCCAACGGTATTTGAGTTATTGCCCGGACGGACGGATGGACAGACAGACGGACGGACGGACGTACGTACGGACGTACATACAGACGAACGTACGTACGGATGGAGGGACGGACGGAGGCGTTCCCTATATCCCTCCTAACTTTGTTCGATGGGATAATTAATATATTCATCCTTTTAACCTGGTTAACATTGGTTTATTTTAAGTTTAGCATAGAAAAAGATAAACATGGAGAAATGTTGCCACCTAAATGATGTCACGATGACGTCACTTAGGTTGCAAAATACTTTCGATATGCTAAAACATTGAATTGGCACATCAGATATGACATTTTATTATTGAAATAGTGTGTCCTTTGTTCAATGAACAATGTTTTCAGATACATTGTCTTTGAAATATAATGCACATCAGAATTTTATATTATTTTTGGCAAGGCCTGTCCATGCCCTTGTTCATTTGTCCACTTTCTGTCAATGGACAAGAATTTGCATTTACGGGAGTGTAAAATTGGTTGTTTTGAATGGCGCCTCTTGTTTTTTTCCTCCGCCTCTTGTGCAGAAAGTTACTGAAACCACTGTATGCTCCTTTATGTCAAAGAAACCAAAATTTTGGAAAAGAAACCCTTAATACTGAACTGCAGTACTAGAAAAATCGCAAAAAATCATTTTCTATCTACACCGTATTCCTTCTATCTATTAAATCTTTACATATTAGTAAGAATAGTTCAACAAATACTTACAGATTTATCAGTTATTTTGCCCCATTCAGCGCCACCTATCTTGGCTACATCAGCAACTCCAGCATCAGGATTTTCCTCCTTGATACGGCTGCGGTTCTCGTTCAACCACAGAAAGTAGCCGGACTGAGGACGCTTAGGGGCATTAGGGTCCTTCTTAGCCTTACCCTTCTTCCGGGGCTTCCTTGTCCCTGGCTCCTTCTGAATTTGAACAAGACACAAGCTGATAAATATCGCACTTTGAAGAACAAAATGGCGGCCATGTAATTCACAGAACAAGCCAAATACCGAATCACATCTTGGTACTTATCTGCTCATAGATCTGAAATTTTGATGAAGCCTGGAAACATATAGACAAAATTACGTTGGATGCACGTCCATCCATCTGGCCACCAGATGATTGCAATATAGCATCCAAGGGTCTATAAATAACCTGATTATTTACTGTAGATTGGGTTAATTTGGCACCCTCTTTAATTTGGCGAATTTGGCGAAAATGAAAAATTCGCCAATTTTAATCTTCGCCAAAATTTAGAATGAATCCCCAGGAATTATCTAGGGTATTTGGTCCAGTGTATTTAGGTCACTTCCGGTTTAGCTTTTTCCAAAAATATGATAAAATGTCTCTCATAAATTGGCTCAGAACTGGTCAGTCACTCATTAATACTCAGGGAAAAACGCAGTATGGTAGCAGCATAGATCGAGGTACAAAATGTAAATGATGATCTCACAAAAATGTACAAACGTGGTGAATATCGCCAGTGGAGTTAATTTTTTTTTCTTTTTGCATATCCGCCAAATTAAATAGCCGCCAATATGCCAAAAATGGCAAAATCGCCAAATTAAGTATCGCCAAATTGACCCAATCTACAGTAATACTTTAAAATAGATTGCCCGGACAATATTTTTCAAAAAATGTACGGATAGTAAATGGATGAACATGATCAATGCATAGCTTTTAATCTCTTCTATTAGTATCCTATCTTTCTGGAGAATTTCCCATTATTTTTTTCTCAAAAAGTGATAAAGCTATGAACATAGGGTCACTGCAGTCTCTCAACAGCATAATTGTACATATTCAGGAATATTTTTAAGCCTGAATCCTGAATAACACAAAAGTTACGGAAGTTAACTTAAGTACCCCATTTAAAGGTGCAACAATTAGTGCAGGGGATTCAACGATCATCGACCAGTATCAAAATATATTTAAGTTTGGATATTTCATCAAGATTAACATATATTTTTATTATCTACAAAGAAACCCCCTGGATGAACATTATTTCAGCTGATATTCCTCTTGAAAAGGTGGTGGATCTTAAAAATCTATAAGTGGGACTCCTTTTATAGAAGCTTTGAACTGAATTTACACTTCTTAATGCTGAAATTGATAGTCTATACATATTTTAATGCATAATTCAATGTACCATTGATCAATTTAAGCTATTTGAGATGTCTTTTTATTTCAGTTATGAAAATAATAATTAGTTTTAAATTTGGGGGCAAACTGTAGAGGGTGCCACCTTTAGGACCAATTTTCACATTCGTTGCCGGGGCTAGGACAGAGAACCCAAGCTCAAATTAAGCCCAATACCTTGCTCTACATGAATCCAGTGAGAAACTTATTTAAACTTATTTTCTAAAATGTGCTCAGCTGCTGACCTAATGTGTTTATTTTGTTATTTTCCTTGACCTCATTACAAAAACACTTGCATACTTTAACAGTGATATCATGTGTAAAAAGGACTATTGTTAATGACAGTATTAATTGGGCTATTGATCAATGTAAAATGAATAATAAAATGTGATATGAAAATGACTGTCACACTCAGTATGCCAAAAACTAATCAGTTTGAGATGTTCACTCATTAAATGATCATAAAAATTACAAATGTAACTCACTATAGTCTTTGCTTTCTTTGCTTTTTTGGCTTTGTGTTTCTTCTTGCGCTTCAGTTCCTTCTCTTCTCTCCTCTTCTTCCTCTCTTCTTCAGTCATATCTTTATCACTTGAGCTAGAAGCTGCATTACCACCCTCATCTTCAGAGGGTGTAGCACTGCTTGTGGCATCAGTGTCATACCTGAAATAATACAGTGATGTTTCATAAGAGCTGTATAAAACTTGTTTTAAAATTATGGTAGTATTTGTTTCATTTTTAGCCCTTAAATAGTATATATGAATAAATATAATTTTTGTGGCATTTTGATTCATAAAATTCATTTATATTATAACAAACAGACTGAAATGTTCATTATGTACACTGAAATGTTCATTACGTGCAATGAAATGTTCATTATGTACACTGAAATGTTCATTACGTGCAATGAAATGTTCATTATGTACACTGAAATGTTCATTACGTGCAATGAAATGTTCATTATGTACACTGAAATGTTCATTATGTACACTGAAATGTTCATTACGTGCAATGAAATGTTCATTATGTACACTGAAATATTCATTATTTACACTGAAATGTTCATTATATACACTGAAATGTTCATAATGTACACTGAAATGTCCATTATGACACTGAAAAACTCATTATCTACACTGAAATGTTCATTATGCACACTGAAATGTACAGTAGTTTCCGCAAGATGAACATCATGAGTCAGTATCAGGAGACGGTAACGGCAATTACCTTCCCTTTCAAAATGGTGGATGTCTCATTTCCTTCCCCTGATTATGATAGTGTTCATTTTCAATATGAACATTATTTATGGATACCAACCTAAGTGAAATTTTCTTTGCATCTTTGCACTCTTAAGTTCAACATCTTCGAGTACATACTCAAAATTACCATATTTGAGTACTTACTCAAATTCATCCTTGGGTACTTTCTCAAGTTCAACATCTTTGAGTACCTACTCAAATTCACCATGTATGAGTGCTTACTCAAGTTCAACACAACATCTTAGGGGACTTACTCAAGTTTAACATATTTGGAAAAATAAAAAGTTCAACAGCTTTATGTACTTACTCAAAATCAACATATTTGCATAATAACCTGAGTTCAACATCTTTGAGTACTTACTCAAGTTCAAAATCTTTGGTACTTACACAAATCAACAATTTTGGTGTTCTTACTCAAGTTCAACATCTTTCACACTTACTCAAAATCGACAACTTTCGTACTTATTCAAGTTCAACATCTTTCGCACTTACTCAAAATCAAAAACTTTCATACTTACTCAAGTTCAAAACATCTTTGAGCACCTATTCAAAATCAACAACTTTGGTACTTACTCAAGTTCAACATCTTTCGCACTTACTCAAAATCAACAACTTTCATACTTACTCAAGTTCAACATCACTACACTGGTCAATGTCAGGGTTGTAATCTGAGTCCTCAGATGACTCATCATCATCATCATCTTGGTCACGCTCTTTGGCCTCGGCTTTCATCCTCTCCATGTATGCGTCATGGTTGCCTTCATTGTCGCTGTCTGAGCCAAGGATGTCATCATATGTGCCCGATTGTTGCTGGAGATAAGAGAGGTTAAGTTACATGTTTTGAAGGGAATATCTTTTCAATCAAAAATATAATTTTTACCCTCAACTCATGCATAATTATTTTTGATACTTCATGGAATCTCTCGTAAATAAAGATTAGTTTTTTGTCATAACTAATGACCAGACTTACTTAATTATGTAACAAAACTACTGAGAGTGAAAATATAAATAGTTACACCCAAATATGACGATTTCATTACGTTCAGTGGAATAATTAAGACTCACCGATTGTTTGTCAATGTTTTTAACTCTCAGTTTCTTGGCAGTAACAAAGTCATACAATTTGCCATACTCATCCCTAGAAACAAAACAAAGTGAATGTTACAAAAAGCTGCTTTATGATACAGTAAAACCTGTGGAATCCGAACACCACGAAGACAAGCCAAAAGTGTTCAAATTGGCAGGTGTTCATATTTTGATATTTCTTAACATGGCAATCTATGGAAAATTAAAACAAGACATTTCAAACATGCAAAATGACACAACCTGCCATTTGTTACAGATGCTGAACACCAACCACTAATTCCAAAACTGTCCACAAAAAAGTTGGAGACTATAATAATATGTCATCACATTTAGTGGCGAAAAAAAATTGAAAGAGTTGTTGGAGTAAACAGGCTTTTATGTATTGTATTAAATTTCAGTACCAACAATCTAATATGTTTAAAGTTGCATTCTCTTTTGAAAGTCTAATCTCATCCAATCAATTTATACAGTAATTCACTAAAGAAATTAATTGGGTAGTGATGTATTTCAAAAGGACCTACACTTCCCAAAAAGATGTCAAAATAAAGTATTTTGGGGGGTAGAGTAGTTCTGCGCAGTTTGCTTTGAACTTATTCAGTATAATTATTAGATTTATATTCTTACTTTTCAACTCCAACAAATGTATAAGCATTGCCAGCCTTAGTGTTGAACTATTACAGTTTTATATGCAGAACAATGCAATTAAAAACCTACACTTAACAAAAATGTCTAGTTAAGGTTTTTTGGGGTAGTGTAGTTCTGAACTGTTTGCTTTTGAATTCATACAGTATTAGATTTACATTCTTACTTTTCAACTCCAACAAATGTATATGACACATACTATGACGACTAGGGGTCACACGGTTAACCGTGGCTTGCGGTTACCGCGGTTCATACCTCCACGACGGTTAGCTCGCACACAATCTTGAAAACCGCGGTTCTTGAAGAACCGTGACATTTTCAGTTTCACTTCAGAAAAATAAAAATGTAAACTCGGAATTAAACTCCATTTCAAGCTTTCGTGTAATACCAATTAACTAAACATCGTCTGGAATCGTTAATCATCATGCAATAATGCGAACCATACCTGATATTTACGACGATCTTCTGATATAGACGGCAGATAACAAAAACAAAAGGAAAATGTTGATAAATTTCACCGGCATATTGACCCGGAAGTGACCTACGCTAAACATTTCGCGCAATCCTATTGGTTGATAGAACAGTATACTGTAAAAAGCCGAACGCCGAATGCATTGAATTTGCGAACGAGTCACGTTCTGTGTATTACGTTCGCCTTTGATCCATGTTGAGTCCTGACAAAGTGTTGAACTTAAGTTATATTTCTAAAGAAAACATTTATTCAGTTTAGTGAAGTACTGTGCTAATTTTGCCAACAGTTGACAAGTTATTTTATGTGTTGAAAAAACTTGAACATCAAACAAGAAGATCAACACAGTGAACACACAGATATTTTGGGAGGGAGGGAGGGAAAAAAGACTGAACAAACAAACAAACATTGTGTGAAACTGGATACTTACAATACTGAATACAATAAAACACTGTGACACACTTAGTATGTTTTCTGATTTTCGGATCAATTTCATATATTTTTGCTAATTTCACGAGGCCCGTGAGAACCGCAATCAGAACCGAACCGAACTGTGAAATACAATAACCGAACCGAACCGTGAAATCTCAAACCGTGTGACCCCTAATGACGACACTGGTATATGTCTGCCTAAGGGGGGCCCCATACTTTCGGGACACCCTGTATATTCTTACTTTTCAACTCCAACAAATGTATATGCAGTGCCAGCCTTAGTGTTGACCTCGAAGTCAAAGGAACGCGTACTTCCAGTGCTACGTGCAAAGTTGACGTTCGTAATTTCATCAAATCTGATATGGATGGGAGGTTTGTGTACAAAGATGAAACCTCTCTCTAAAGGGAAGAGAATACCTAAAGATGCCTTGTAAGAACATCCAACGCAGCTGGCTCCATGGTGACTGAAAATCAAGAACAAATCTTTAATTTAAACTTTGAGGTCTATAATCGAGTTCCAAGAGCAGGGACAAATATCATTTTTATGGAGAAGTTATTTCATATTTGACAGTATCTTAAACAACAACTATTCATTTGCTAAAATCATTTTAATATGCTTTAACAAAATAGATGAGTCTAATCCTTTATTAAATTATTTTTCATCAAAAAGCACATATTTAGTTGTCACTCATAGGACCTAAATTAATCAATCATTCATTTATATCACTTTCAAATAATAAATGATATCTAATCTATTCTAAAATCCCTATACTAAAAAGACACACTACCACACGGAATCAGTGGTTGTTCCGCTGTCCTACAGGGGCAGTAATTCATTCAGAAGATTAAAACTTATACAGCTATATGTTGGCTTTCCTTATTGCAGGTTGTAGAACAGCCAGATTTTATTTAAAATCACAACAATATTGGGTTGTGTGTTGTGTGTATATTAACAATACACTCATTACTCACCTGCTGAAACTGCCAGGGACGGTAATTTTCCTGTTCACGAGTGCCTTCATCACACGACTTACAATCTCATACTCTGGACCTGTCATTTCTTTCTGCAGCTTTCCTTCATACTTCTCATTTAATTCTTCCCTATAATTTACAATTTGATCAGTTGATGTTGGTTTATAACAGCCGGAGAGCAACTAAAATTGAGCGACACTATACTACATCCAATTTTTGACTTCTGATTTTTAACTCACTTCTTTTCTTGACAGTCTTTTGCTCAATATTTTACATTTGAAACTACCAGAGTTTACTACTTCTGTACACTCCAACCATGAAAAATGATTTTACGATATATATATGGCAGAAAACCAATCAGAGAGAATTTAACACAGTTCTGGTCACATATTTGTATATCAAGATCCAACTTTGAGATTTTACAGGCTTGGACTAAGTACCGCTTCAACCCCTCCCCAACTTAAATAAGATGGTCTTGTAACCAGTGGGCACCGCTTACTAATATGAATTACTCATGCTAGATTCGTATCAACTATTTACACATTATTTACATTATTATTTACATTATTATTTACATTATTATTTACACCTTTATTGTTACTAGTACAGCATATTGCTATTTGCGTAAACAAAAGTAGCCAGTGTATAAGTGACCTTTCCAGGGGGGTGTCCACTTGTAGCTAGACGAACAAGTTTTACAATAGTAATAGTACAATGTTCTTACTCGCTGAGTGTGAGTTCGAGTGTACACTCATCTTCCTTGCTGAACAACAGGATCAGGAATGGGTATCTTGTCTGGCCTTGTTTTATGGGAGGATCCAAACTGACCTAAAACATTTTTATAATCACAAACAGTAATATAAAATATTGGGGACATTTCTTGGAACTTCAAGATATGATCTTTCTTATTTATTTTTCATTTCACCTTCAATTTCTGATACACTATTCTAAGACATAATTTGACAATCTATACTCAAGCCCGTTTACTTTGAGCATGTATTTCATATATGCAATGTTGATGTGGAAAAGTCAGCTGGTCATGTATCCTAGTGGTAGAGCACTCACCAAAAAATTGAGGGGTCGTAGGTTTGATTCAAACTGTCATGGAACGACTTTTTCACATCAGCCCTTAGTACAGAATTTCATTCTTTGTTTTTATTATTTACAAACAAAAATTCTAACACTTTTAGCATGGGTTCAAGAAATTTGAGTCACCACAAATAGCTTAACCCAAACGGCCATGACTCACCACAAAGAACATCTGCCTGTTGTCTTTATGAGGAAGCAGGAACAACCGCAGAACTGTCGTGTATGGAATCTTGTAATCAAATGTTTTACCGTGAAGTTGTAAGAATGTTGGGTATATTTTAATATCGTAGCGACCCCTGAAAATAGATAAATACAATTTATCAATAATTTCAAAATTATTAAAAAATGCTGTTCTTGTCAGGTTTAGTACAAATTCTCCTGAAGACTGAACAATTCTGAACTATTCTGATGCACTGTTAATATCTGTTGTAGCACTTGAATTGTAGTATATATGTACGCACCTTGGTGTAAGACATTGTACTTCAGCAAAGGTAGCTATTGATTCACCAATGGCCTGTATGATGTCAGCCTTGGCCAATATGTTACTGTGGAACTCCTAAAATATATGAGATATGAAGTAATGTGAAACAGTACACCTTTGCTTCTAGAATCAAGTGTTTACTGAAATCAAGTGTTCACTGAAGTTAAGAGCTTACTGAAATTGATAGCTTACTGAAATGAAGTGTTTCCTGAAATGAAGTGTTTACTGAAATTGAGTGTTTACAGAAATAAGTGTTCACTGAAATCAAGTGTTCACTAGATTTAAGAGCTTACTGAAAGTAAGTGTTAACTGAAGTTGAGTGTTTACAGAAATAACTGTTCACTGAAATCATGTGTTCACTGAAGTTAAGAGCCAACTTAAAGCAAGTGTTTACTGAAATCAAGTGTTTTCTGAAATAGATACCTCAACTGCTGGTATTTCATTGTCATCTCCCTTCTCCCCTGGAACGTGAAATCTCAGCTCCATCAATGAAACTGCTGCATCGTCATTTTGGTGAAACTCTAACGTTACTTCATTCTTATTGGCTGTTGTGTGAGAAACGTTTGAGAGTGGGATTTCAAAACCTGTTTTTCCGCCTATTTCAAATTCAAGGGAGCCAGCTGGAATTAAAATGAAAAATCACATGAAACACTGATAAATGAAGAGAAAATTTTTAATTTTCCTGATATTTTAATTGTTTTAGATATCTCGGAATTTTTTGTTTGTTTTGCATATATCAGCTATTTCTGCGTAAAAATGAACATAATGTATACATGCTTTGGAGGGTTGTATATACATCAGGGGTTTCACTAGAATTTCTCACAACAGGCTAAACAAATGAAAACAACAGGCAAAATTAATAAAAATCATAAAGGACGATTCTCGGTTTGGAGAACAGTCTCCTGGGCTTATAATTTTTTTCATGAAAAATATAGAAATATTACCCAAATTAAACTATGAATTTTCAAAAGAGGACATTTAAATCTACAAGATGTAAAAATAACAAATTGGTCTGAAGCAGGGATAACGCTCAATTAGACCGATTCAATAAAATACAAGTCTCGATTTTGGGGAAAGAAGTTCATCAGTGTACTGCGCTAATATATTTTTGCGAAAAATCTAGAAATATTACCCAAATTAAATTATGACTATTCAAAAGAGGACATTCAAATCTATATTATGTAAAAAAATCAAATTTGTCCGAAGCAGGGATAATGCTCATTTAGATTGATGAACTTCGTTCTCCAAACCGAGAATCGTCCTTTAACATGGAAAAGTTGAAAAGTCCCTAAAAACAACAGGCAATTTTGTGAAAACAACGGGTGAAAATTACCTGTTGCCTGCTGCTAATGAAACCCCTGTACATGTACATGTAATTTTGGCTTAATAATTTACCATAGGCATTATAAAAGGATCTTTTAAACTTACCATCAAATTTTGATTTTCCCCAGTTCCATCCCCTAAGGGAAAGGTCCTGTTTTTCGAGATCTGTTTTGTAAAAGTTTTTCACGAATGATGAAAGTTTGTCAAATTCCTGGAACATACAACATTTTACATAATGTATTAGTGATCTTTATACACACACGTGAACATGTAGTTGCAATTACCATTTTAAGGAAGAGATTTCTGTTATTATCCATGTTATGGATATCAATGATTTTCATTACTGATTTTTTCAAAAACAAGATGAATGAAAAAGGTGAAAATACCTTTTTAATATAAACTTATAGTATAAACTTATAGAGGCGTAACTTGCAAAATGTCACCACCTATCAATTGTTACAAACACTGAATGCCAACCACAAACACCGTCCACAGAAAGTTGGAGACTATAACATATGCCACTACTTGCGACGTTTTGGTGACATAATAATGTTAAACTCTTTAATTACCCCTTCTTTGAATCCATCATATCTGTGAATTGTGTTGTTATTTAACTTTATTTTTAAACAATGTCCTTTTGCTCTCATGAGCCACTGAGTGGTTTCTATATCATCTGCGTTAAAATGGTCCACTTTCCCCGTCTTCATATTCTTAAATATAACATCATGACTCTGAAGCTTTAGTCTGCCAGGGTGCTGTAAGTATAAACAGAAAGTGACTGATTATACATACACTGATTTAATGATACTATATTTATAATTTTATGAGAGAGCAGAGACAATCAAAAGACATATATTAAATAATGGAATACAAAATTTGCACAACAAGTGAGAACTTAAACACATGAGAGAGCACAAAGTGAATTTACAGTACAAGAGACGAACTGCCGAGGAAACAGCGGCTCATGCAACACAATATCCTTTTACGCTCTTGGTTATATTGTCAAACTCAGCGAAACACAAAAGTAGAAACATTATTCTCAGGAAAGAAAATAATTACTTGTTAGAAATTAGAATTTCTGTTTCCCGTCATGTAGTGTGTTCTAAAAATGTGTGTTCTAACCTCTAGAGGGTAAGAAAGACTCCTTATCTTCAGGAAAATCTTATTTTTCAAGTTCTACCAACGCAGTCTAGTGGTTAGCGAGCACGACTCCCGAACACACTCGGTCCCGAGTTCGAATCCCGGACCTACTTTTTTCTTTTGGGGGGGGGGGGGGGGGCATAGTGCTTCTTTTGCAGTATGGAATCGTACAGGCATTAACTTGTAGTGAGCCATAATTTATTTCGACAAAAATTGATTCAACTTCCATCAAAATTGTCCTACAAGCTTCAATTAAAAAACATTTTAAAGCTCTTTTCTTGTTCTATCTAATGGGTCGATATATACAGTTAGGGGAGGGGATGCTTTCGCCCCCGTCGACCTCTACCCTTACTACACCATGGCACAGGAGAAATATCTCATTTTGAATATATCACTGTTTACTTTGCGTTTGGTAGCTCTCTCATGCGAGATGGAATCGTGGCCATTAACTAAGGGAGCCAAATGCAACTTTCATCAAAAATTGTGCTATAAGGTATGAGTACCGTAATCCAACACCAAATTCGAAAATTCATAACAATACTTTGCACATATGGCGTTCGTGACCAACTATGAAACGCTTACCCCCCATAGTGTTATATATCAAAATGCACCTGTCCATATAGGGGTTCGATTGACCTACATCAAATTATAGGGAGTCAGGTTAGTTTTTGAGAAATCAGCGTCCGTTTATTGTAACTCGCGTTTGCTACCACTTCCTCAATTCTGATATGACGGGCAAACGCGTAGTAAACATGCTCACGTTCGGAACTATTTTGACCTACATCGCTATTTTCGTAATTCAAATGAAAGTTGAACTGATTTATTTTGATACCAAATAGTGGCATACTAGGTACCCTAGAAGCCAACTATGGGTTATTTAGAACGATACCACAGGTTTTTAAATGGACTATATAGGGGTCATACCTTTTTGGGGATGGATATGGAACCTCATACCATACGATAAGCTTCAAATAAAAAATATTCTAGCTATTTTCTTCTATCTAATGGGTAGCAAACGCCCCTTTCTACGCCTGATCGGCTCAGGAGAAATATCCTGTCTGTTTAGAATACTGTATAAGTGGTATTTAATCCGAGTGGTTAATTTTCCGAATGGTCAAATTTCATCATTTTCCTAATTTTAATTTTCCTAATGACAAGAAACCTCCCATTGGATAACATTATAAAGACAATATTTCCGACATTTAATTTTCCGAACTTGGCAAAAATTAGGAAACAGGCAAATTAAATGATTAGGCAAAATTACCACTTATACAGTATATATAGCCGTTTACTCTGCATTAATAGCTCTCTAACGTCTTACTTGTTCATGTTTTTATTGGGTTTTCAACATTTACTAGATTACCATTCCCTGTTCCCGGGCTACCATTTTTTGATTGGGTTTGGTAATCCCCGGGTAACCGGGGCTAATGCCCTCCCCTGGTTTTGCACTTGTTCCCAAAATATCCGTATGATATCTGAAATATCCCCCCGCGCAGTGCGCATGCGCCAGAAAATTCGAAAATCAATATTTGTCGGTCCTCTAGCGTGTAAACACAGCATATCTCCCGTACCGACAATTTATTTGTCGGTCCTCTAGCGTGCCACCACATCAGAGTCTAGAGTACCGACAATTGTCGGTACTCTAGCCTTTACGAAATATAAAATGTATGATATTCAGTGTTCATTTAGAACTTTAATTCTCTGTACTACGATGAGAGTACGATGAATAATTTTGATTCGAGATGTGTCTGTTCTTGTCAACAACACAAACATATCTGAAAATCAGGTTGAGCATGATCTCAAAAATCATGAAAAAATAGAAAAATTCCGCGAAAATTTGAAGTGACAAAAATTGACTTACCATTGCACCTCTAACTTCTTGAACAACATTAGAGAATTCCAAGAAGTCGCCCATTGTGATATCGGTTAGATATTGTCTAAAATAAGAGGTGTTTTAGCTTATATCAGCAATTATTCGCAAAATTCATGTTCTTTCTTTTTTCCGTATGAGAATACATGCACTTTATGTGGCTCGTTTGTTTTATTTCGCTCGATTACGAAAAGACCCAAAAGGAAGTATTCACATAAATTGTTGTCTTATTTCCTCAGAGTATGATCATAAGAAAGAGATTTAATTGAATCTGATTAATTTTTCTCGAAATAAAGTTGTACTCTTGTAATTTTCACAAATTGGTGGTAAATGATTATCTTCAAATACTTTCTATCCACAGATTCGACCTTGAGATTTTTCTGGCGGGAGACCTCAACTAAATCACTCATTTACCGGTGTTATACTCAAACAAAGCCCTAAAATTGATATCCGATGTCTATAATATAATTCTTATATATCCTATACCTCTAAAGTAAGGATATGATTGTTATGAAATCGAAAGATTCCTCTCGAGAAAATAAAAATGATTCTGATTACTGTCAATAGGTGTCGTTGCCATTCAATGTTGACATGACAGTCTTTTTGTTGGAGTTTGCTTTGTGAGAAACTCGACAGGAAACACCTTGAATCGCCGTCCATTTGGAGTTAACCGATCATCAATAAGGTAAGTCTATATCTTTGATAACTGGAGATTAGACATATTTATCTTTTCAGAAGTAAACCACCCATTTTGTCACTAAATTATGACTTGAAGTTTTGTCAAATTTTTTTTTAGAAATCTAGCCAGATTTCTAAAAATAATTATTGACAAAACTTCAATAATTGACATTTTATTAGTCCATAATTGTTGGAATTTCATATTTTAAAACACCCCAGAACGCTTCAAAAGCAATCTTATTTTCAAATTTTCTTGGTTGGAGAATCCCAAATTCCTTCAAAGTGGCTCGTTCACTTCCCTCACTCGTGGCGTACACTCACAAAATATCCACGATACACCACTGGGTTTAACAGATTTATTGTATTAATATTTTTTGGCAACAGCTCTCCCGAAATGAAAATAACTCCCATCCCACTCTCTCTATACCTAGAAAAACCTAGAGTAACTTAGGGCTGTATTCTCTTTTCAGGACAACTGTACACTTTGTTTCAGTGCCTGTAACTAATCTTGCTTACTGAACAAGCTGTTATCCAGCTGATGGAAAACGGCACATTTTTGGCTCTGTAGCACAATTTTAATTTTTCTGATAAGACCCAGGCTTTCCTGTATTAAGACTCGTATATCAGTATATCTAAGCAAATTTCTTATAGGAACACCTCCCAGTAGTGTTCGCATTAGCATGGGCGTAGCGCCCGGTACGCTGGGTACGCACAGGCGTACCAGATGGTTGCAAATTCGCTCCAAATACATCAAAATTTCAAAATTTTTCTGGGGGAGAATCCCCAGAACCCCCTGAAGGCTCGTTATTTGATTCACTCAACTCTTGTTCCTGTAGTGATGGCGTACTACTTAGAAAAATAGCGCTACGCCCATGATTAGACAGGTTTTACTCTACCTATGTAACAACATGGTAACAACAACTGAATAATGAGTTTATTCCAACAATGTTATGAATCATGTAATATGTTTAATAACTGATTTAAGTTTTCTTGGCTTCATAAGGCTCAGTCCTTTATATATTAAATAAGTAATAGCCTATTATATTTTGTATTTTTATACAATATTACGATATTAGGACTTTTATGGATTCTACTTGAACGTGTCTAGAAAGGTGGAATTTGGATTCATATACTGAACCACCGAAATAAAAATTATGATGACTGCTAGGCTAAGATTTCAAAAGTTTTAGCCATATTTTAGGAAAGTAATGCATTTCAGTCAGAAGTCTTGAGAAAAATAAGTGTATTGAGCAAAAACAAGTTATCCCTAGTAACAGCCAGTTTATAATTCATTTTTTATAAACTTATAGAGGAAGTAAGATATTGAAGTTGAAGGTGATGAAAGAGGTAAACTTGAAAACATAAATAGCTAAATTTAAATCATAAAAATGCAAAACAACATGATGCACAATGGCTAAGTTATTTATCATGGTTCTTGAAAGATTTAAGTTAGTCAACATTTAACAGTTTATATTTAGAAAATTGAATTTTAAAATATAAGTAACTAAGCTACACTTGGATGCCTGGCTAAGCTTATATGGCTCAAGTCCTATATTTGTAATAAACATCATTGCAATATTTGAATGTCACACAGAAGGCCAGGAGATTTTGTTTGTTTGTTTCTGATCGTATGTTTTCAAAGTTTAGACCTGCTTGCCAATATTTTCTCTTTGAAAAGGTTGTTTTTCTTATATGTAAAAAACTCCTCCAAAATATAAAAATCAGTTCCTTGAAACAATGAACTATTACCATATGCTATGTTAGGCAGAATGATAGAAATGGTCTCCACTTTGTTTGTTATTTTTAATTGCCTCTGGATGCATATCTTCAAAACTCAGCAATGTAGCCTTTTAGGAGAGACCTGTCTGGATCAGCTTTATTGCCCAATATTGTGCTATTCTGTGTGTTGTGCTGTAAATGTGCATGCATCTCTGTCAGGGCAGGTAGGGAGAGGGCACCACATTTCTAGAACAGACTAGTGCCAAGGTATGATTAGGTTTTGGGTATGCTGGGTAAAATGTGGTGTCCATTTTGACTTTTTGATAAAAAAGTGTGATACGTCATGTATTTTGCACTGAGTTTTACTTCATATAAATTCTACCATCTAGCTACCAGAAACCAAAAATTATTTTTCCTTGGCCTTGTATTTAGTTTCATGTTGTGAAGCAAATAAGTGATTTACCTTGATTACAATGCATATAGCATGATATGTCATAAGACACTTAGACAGTTAGATAGGTGCATAAAGACAAGACTGATTTTGATTGCCAACGAGTTATATAAAGGACATAAACCATAGGCTATAGTCACATCTTTGTTTGTTTGGCTCCATCCAGTCCAGGCTGAATTCTATGAAGCTGAAAAGCATGCAAAAATGCTCAAAATAAAAAATACATGTTAATAAAAACATTGAGAAGTTCACTCGCCTTGATAAATGGTCAATACTCAATTTTTATGTTTACAAAAAATGAGTACTACATGTACATGTAGATATAGGCTATCCCTTTAGGTGATTCCCCCATTCCTCAAGGGCAGTTAGAGTTTCTTTAAATGATTTGTGGTAGTCTTGCAACAAATTTCTGAATTTCTTCCCCCTTTTCATCATCTCTTATTATTGTGGAGGTTCATTTATGGGGGGGGTTGTTACAAAGGGGGGAGGGAGGTTACAAGGAGGGGGGCTGTTACAAAGGGGGGGGGGGGGGGTTACAAGGGTGCGAAGCAAGACTGATACTTGACTTATAAATCTAAAATTACCAAGATATCTGCATATGGACTAAGGATTGAAAAACCTGATACTTTCCCAAGTGCCAGTTCATGTAATACAAATGTCTCAAGCAAAAGAGTTCATGGCATTTTAGAATTCATATAAATCTTTTATATTATTGACATTCCCTTTTAGTTCTATGGTTGATTGTGTTTTATAGTCTTATTGGTAATTTCTCTTTTATGTTGAATGTTGTATTATAGCTTTGTTTACCCTTTGCATTCTTTTGACTTCGCTTCTTAAAAGAGAGCTTCGTCTTCACTCCTTCAGTTTTCAATACATTTCTGAACTCATCGAGCAATTCAGAGTTCGTCTTTGAAATTCGGACAGCGTCAACTTTCTATATATCAGAGATCACGGTAGACGTTCGCCATTCGCCAATCGCGAATTTTCGAAAGAGGTGGCGAAAAATATGTAAAGGTATTTCGCAGTTATGGCGAATTAGAGGTGTCACGGTTTCTCGATATTGGACCGAATTTCGGTCCAGATGCTTCGGTTCGGGACATGGGACAGAAAGGGTTAATATCGGTACATAGATTCCTTCCCTAGAATGCATAAAAACGTGTATAAATAGCGAGGAACACCTCCGACTTCGTTCTGAAAAATTAAAAAGAAATTGAAAAATCAAGCCGGCATCTAAGTCGAAAAAGTCGGCAGTTTGGAAGTATTTTGGGACTCCGATATCACAAGGTAAACGAATTGGTGATATTACACCGTGCAGACTATGTGAAATGCCGATCACATTCGCGGCAGATGCTTTACATTCAATTTTAATTGACGTTTTTTTATTTCTGAATATGATTTTGACAAGTGAAACCGAAAGTGAAACTGTCATCATCAGACATTGCATCATTTTTAATGTTCCCTTTTTTACGGTTTTTCAAAATGGCTAATTCATATTTTGGTTGGCGAACGTTTTTTTGGAAGATTTAGCCACAATGGCTAACAAGTTTTTTCAACTATCGTGATCTCTGTATATATGGTCATTTCTTCTGATGTCATCGCATAGATAATAGCAATTCATTTAATATGTGTCCCTTCCAGCTTGGTGATTGGTTGAGAAAAGATCAGCGTGGTAGGTTTGAAATGATTTATGACCCGGGCTGTCACAGGCATAGGCCATGGGGGTGGGGCTACTAAACTGTAATATAGTCTATACAAGGCAGAGGGTAGTTTATAACTAGACTCTGCGTGCAGGGTAAGCTTTATTGAATTTAAGCATAATAAACAATTCTGACTTGGAGTCGGACATTAACATGGAATATCCAGTTATTTATGGTTTCATTTACTCTACAATTATTTTAGCAATATCCTTGATTGTAAGCGTTCTATATAATTTTGATTTACTCGTTTTTCATCCAACTTCAACAAATTTAGAATTGATCTCTCACTGTTACGTGATCCAGTCTGCGCTAATCTCTCAACATCCATCTCAAACAATAGATTAAGAGGGACTTTGACGAAAATAGAAATAAGAAAACTATGAGAGTTGATAGTCTAGCTACAAACCCTTCTGTCCCCCCCCCACCACTACACACTTCCTCACAAGTGCTGGTGAAGTAAATAAGATGGGGGGGGGGTCTAGAGAGTTTTAGCGAGATGACAAGAAAACCATACAATCTCCTCTTCATCCATATGTTCATACTCGTTTCCCAGTTTGATTTTCAATCACATCACATAATCATACCTTGGAAATCCAAGATGCCATATGTTATGATTGAATATGAATTGAAATGAA